AGAAACCACTTGATGATTGTTTAGTCAACACAAGAGTATCAAGGTCACAACTATCACCGTCATATACGCACCAATTTATTTTTAACCATAAGGTCAAAGGTAAATGTGTTAGGCCCAAGTGAAGCTTTGCCTGAGGCACCGTTGTTCACTAGCTACTATTTACACAAAAAAGAAAAGAAAACAGACTCAACCCCTTAAGAAGGTTGTCATGCCATCCATCATCGGGAAGAGCCACCCGGTTCACACAAACTCCACCTTTGGAAAGAACTGTGGCATTAAGAAAACTAAAGGCTTATTGATCACAAAAACTTGTAAAATAAGAAGCTATGAACCGAAAAAGAAGCTACTAAATGAAATAAGAAGCTATACTATTAAGGAAAATTGTAAAAGAAGTTATGAAGTAAAATGCGGAAAGTAAACTAAATATGTACAATAGGGGCTTTAGATGAATATACATAAGAGGGAATGAATATATACATGAGAGAGTAACTTTATATACAGACCAAGATTGAAAAATAACGAAAAGTGAAATAAATGGTAAAATTATATACATACCAAAAGTGAAAAATAAACATAAAAAAATTAGTATCATAATTACAAACCAACTACCAAATCATCAAAGTAGGACCACCCCCTCAAATAAAAACTAGCATTGTCTTCAATGCTAACTAACCAAAAATAAGATCAAAAAGAAGGGTAGAGAGTAAAGAAAACTCCCTATGAGTCCTCTTTCTGCATGGGATCCTATGGCTGGGTCCCTGGATCACCTGGCTCGGGGACTTGTGGCTGGCCAGAGGCACCTCCCTCACGATCCTCCAGCTCAATCTCTACATCATCAACCCGGGGCATCACTCTCCTCATCCTGGCTCTCCCTCAGTCTCCTTCTCCTGAACCTGCTCTGTCTGAGCTGCTGGAAGCTAGTCCTATAATAGTAGCTCCAATGGTAGGTCGCCAGCTGACTTCATCTTCTCCACATCTCCCCTCAATTGTTTTACCGACTCCTTCGAGGCCCAAGTCTTTTTCAGCTTCTTTGTTTGCTTGCTCAGCTCCTTAAGTGTTTTTCCTTGAACTGCAAGAGCATCCATGATAAGCTTTTGGTTCTCCAAGAGCGTCTTCTGGTTATCCAGAAGCTCTTTGAGAGACTCCTCTATTGAAGCTGGCACCTATGGTTGTGCGGGAACTAACTGGGCTGCCACTGAACTGGATAGCACAGGCAGCTTAGAAGTTGTTGCATGCATCCAGTTGTTGATGCTGGAGAGTGTTTGGTTTAACCTGTGAGCGATCAACAGGTATGCTAAGAAGGATGGCACTGACGGCATGGAATTAGATGGTATTGAGGCTAGATTCGGTATGGCAGTGGGAGGCTATGAAGTAGTGACTACCGCTATTGGTTCTTCAGACTGGCCCGTAGAAGTATTAGCTTTTCCCTTAGATCGCTTAGATTTGGGGTTGCCTGGACCCTAAAGGATGTACCATGAAAAGGGCTTCTTGGGCTTTACTATGACATCGAAATTTCTTTTCTCCACCTCCTGATCTTCCAAGTACATGGTGAGGAAGTTCGGGAAGGGGTAAGATCTATCACCCTTGTTGACCACCCTGTTGATCACCCTAGACATGATATTCCCGACATTGATCGGGAACCCTGCTATGATAGCCTCCACTATAATCGCCCGGGAAACCGACATGGTGTTGTCGTGAGTAGTGGGGTCTAATCTGCTACATACAAAGGTTTCCCAACCCTTTGCCTCAAATTTTAGGGTGTTCCTCAAGATAGGAACCCCTACTTTCAACCATGCTGGAGTAGTATCCGAGAGAGCCAGAAGTGATGCTAACCATGGGTGGGCCGCCTCATCCGTAGCCACTTTCTCCAAGTACAGTGACTCATCTTCATCATTGAATCCCAGGTAATCATTGATCGTTTCCCATCAAATTTGACCTTCAGGTTCCGTATCTTAGTCACTTTTGTGCCCTTTTTGATATGGGAGGCGTTGGCGTAGAATTCCTTGACTAGGTGCTCATTAGCATCCGGCACCTTGCTAGTGAAGTACTCCCATCCCACTCTTTCATTGAAGTGCTGCTTCACATTAGGGTTGTGGAGCAGAAGATCCCACTCTATGAATTGGCGCTCATAAATGAGTGACTTTTGAGGCCACCACTCCCTGAATTTATGGTATGCCATCTCACTGACAAACCTCTGTTGCCATACCTCCGGGTTTCTGGTCCTTTTCATACCTCCGGTTTGGGTATCACCTCCTCTCCCATCACCCGGCATCTACATCTATAGGATCTTGTGCCAGTGATGAAGTTGTGGGTGAGGCTGAAGCTGAGGACTCACCACTCTTCGCTGAGCCATCAGACGACTCAGAAGAGGCATGAGAAGTATGAGAGGCTAGGGGTGTAGGCTCATCAATCAACCTGAGTCTCCCCGGGAAGTCTAGCATATGTGTTGGCATAGAGTCACCCTCGGAGGCCTCCTGGGAGGGGACATAGTCACTTCCCTCTAAGTGGGAAGTAGCTCTATTTGCAGCTTTGATGTTCTTTCTCATTTCCCCAATTGATTTCCAAATTGCTGGGGTCAATTTAATTTTCCTCGTTCCTTACCCCGAAGGATTCTGCTTTCCCATTTTGTTTCTCGCAGCCACCTCTAGATTTAATCATTGTCTGCAAACATAATCAGTGGAAGAGTGTTAGTACTGGTACTAGAAGAGGCATTGAAGAAAAGCAGAAGAACAATTTACAGTGCATGAAAAACTTGCAGACCGCTGACAGCGGAAAATAAAGCGCGGTCGCGGAATGATCACCGCTGACCGCGGAAAATGCATCGCGGCTGCGGATGTGTGGGTATCAGACTACCCACCCTCTAATTCTATACTACCGCTGAGTGCGGAAAATTGGGCACGACCGCAGAGTTTGCACCGCCGTCCGCGAAAAATCAACCGCGGCCGCGAACCCTTATGTTTACTTCTCTGAACTTGAGCACCGCAGACTGCGAGAAAAGCATCGCGACCGCGGAGGTTGGATCGCTGTCAGCAGAAATTTTCACCGCTGACTGTGGTCATCAATATTTCCAACTCAGAGATAACTCAGCAGCGCTGATAGCGAAAAATCAACTGCGGCCGTCAAAATCAGGCTGAGTCAACCTAGGGTTTCAAATTGTCATGCATTTAGCAATATCATCTACATTGTTAACCCCACTAGGTATTCATTAATAAATCCTAACTATTTTAAGCCTAATCTAATTAATACTAAACAACCCTAGGTCAAAATTGAAAGAAAATCAGAAGAAGTAAAAAAACTAACAATTAAAAAAATAAGTACAAAATTAAAGACTAATGAATGAGTGAAATTCCCAGATGTGAGATGAGTGGTGAAAAATGAACTTTGATTGTGTTTGTATAGATTAGGGCTAACGTGAACAGTGAAATTGTTACTTTGAAAGAGAAAAGATCGAAAAGTGTAAAAGGGTTCTTGAGGTCCTATTTATAGAAAACACCTAGGGGCCCACACAACTCACCTGGTGCGGCCGCGAAAAATCACCGCGGTCCGCGCTTATGACGAACAGAAGGACTGCTTTTCTGAGACTACTGCTGAGAGCGGTAAATGGTACGCGACCGCGGTAAGGGACCGCTCCCAGCGTAAAATAGCACTGCGGAGTGGTGGAAACTTAAGTGAAAGTCTCATTTTGGGCTTTCCAATCCCACATTCGCTACCAATTTTTGCCTCCGCGATAAGGCCACCGATAACTGCGAAAATGGAGCGTTGTCAACGGTCCAACTTTAGAGAGTGACAAATTTTTCTAACTTAGTCCTGCACTACATCAAACATTCCTACACACATCTCACAATCAGTTAGTTCAAAAACAAATCTTACACTACAAAGTAAATCAAAAAAAGACGAAAAACACATGGGTTGCCTCCCAAGAAGCGCTTGATTTAACGTCGCGACACGACGCATGTTACCATCAATAACTTGAGATGGATCATTGCCACCACGTGACTATCATCAAACTTGCCAAGATAGTGCTTCACTCTGGAACTCTGAATATTTCACCAATTTAATTTTTCAAATCAAGAGCACCAAACGGACTCACAAGTACCACCTCAAAAGGTCCACTCCATTTTGACTTGAGCTTTCCCGACAGTCGTAACCGGAAGTTGAATAAGAGAACCAAGTCACCTACTTTGAATTCCTTGCTACGGGCATACTTGTCATGTAAGTACTTCATCTTGTCCTTATACAAGGACAAGCTAGAATAGGCATGAAACCGGAACTCATCAAGCTCATTAAGTTGCTCCACCCGAAGATTTGATGCAACATCCCATTCAAGATTTAACTTCCTCAAGGCCCACATGGCCTTGTGCTCTAACTCAACTGAGAGATGGCAAGCTTTCCCAAACACCAACCGGTATGGAGACATACCAATCAGAGTCTTGTAAGCAGTCCTGTAAGCCCACAAAGCATTATCTAGTTTTTTTGACCAGTCGGTCCCATTTGCATTGACAGTCTTTGACAATATGCTCTTAATCTCCATGTTGGAGACCTCAACTTGCCCACTAGCTTGAGGATGGTTGTTGACATCCAATTTGTCCTACTTTTCCTCCAATTAATTTCTTTATGCTTTTTGATTTTTAATACTTTGGACATATTATTTTATGTAGTATTTTTCAATAATTTTACTTTAAAATAATATTATAGTAATGCTTTCAAATATTTCAGTAATAGATTTTTCTATTAGTTAACTATATATATGTTTTAAAAGTGGTCAATTTTAGTCCAAATTATTAAGACAAAGAATCCCAAAGAAATTAGTTGAAGGAGAAAAAAGGTCATTCAAATGTGGCCTAATATATCTAGCCCATAGTCATTCTAACTAGTCCAATAATGACCCACCAAATTTCTTCCAATTAATGTAGTCCATTTGTATTCTAAGCCCACTCCTCAATAGCCCAGAAAACACACCCAACAACCCAGCATTTCTATAATCTAAAGCTGCCAGCCCAACTAAACCTAACCCTAGTTCCTTTTCTCTATAGCAGTCACCCTCTCTCGTTCATCTATCTCACATGGCCATTTTTAGCAAACTCCAAAGCTTTTCAAACCTAAGTGAGGGATGCTCTACCATTTTTGTGCAAACCTTGGTAACTCCATAACGTCTCTCCAACGCTTTCCTCTCTCATCTCTATCACAAGATTTGGTCAAGAATAAGAGGCCAAAGAACTTTTGAATAAATCAGATTCTTCTACACTTTTCAGAGATTTGACTCTCAAACGGCTACAATTCAGAGACTGAAGCCGAACCCGTGACCCCCTTTTCTTTGATTTTCAAATCTCGCTCAGAAATTCGAACCCTATATTGATTTCGCCTATAAATACTCCTAAAACCTTCAGCCTAAACCAAGCTTGAGCACAGGTAAAAACCAGGCTTGAATCACCAAAAAAAAAAAATCGTGCTTCAATTTACATTCAAGTTCTAAATTTCAGTTTAGTAGTGAACAGTAGTGGATCTGAGACCTCAAAGCCTACAGTTCACTGCCCCATAAAAGGTCAGTTTTTTTCTTGTCTTTTCATTATTATTTTTCTTTTGCTTTTGCTGTCAATGTGATATTATTTGTTTCATATAGCTAGAAGTTATGATTTAAGGTCTCCTATTTTATCTAAAGAGATAGTTCTTAGGTTATTGTTATTCTGGTCACATTTCGGCAAAAAACGTGATTAATAAATATGCAATGAAGTGACCATCTAATTTTACTTGCTCTATGTCAGTCTCAATTAATTTGATTCCATGTTTTAGATACCATGTTATATAGGAAAGATTACTGAAGTGGAATTTCTATTAAGCGTCGCACTAATGAATGTTCTCTTACCTAGACATGTGTGGTCTAAATCTTGTTGTTGATGTTCTGTTATTTTGTCCAAAACTGCCCGATGAACCATGTCCATAAAGATTTCTCTTTTTTTCCATGAAAGAATTGTATTTGAACTTTCATTTTGTGGGATGCACCCTCTAACTGGTGGTCATGCTTTAGGAGTTATATCACATATTTTTATTTTCGGTTTAGAGATCCTGCATTAGGACTTTAAATTAGATAACAATATGTTTTTTTCACTTTAGCTATTTCTTATGAAAGTTTATGATGTAGATGTCCCACTTCTAATTGTTTTGTTTTCTTTCTTTCTTAGTTTCACATGAACACCGGAGCGGAAGTGTCCCACTTTGAGACTCGACGACGCTGCAGCACTATACCTGCATGGACTCAGCACACTTTTTACGTTCTCACTGCTGATGTAGTGATAAAACAACAAAATTATCCCGCGTGGGATGTTGGCGGAGAAGCCAGTCAATTGTCCTTTTGATTTCTGCGTTAATCACAATGTTGTTTCTTAATATGTTAGAATCTTAATTGTTATGTGATACTATATCAATTCAGTGAGGTGTTTACGTATGGATAATAATAGAGGTACTCATCATATCACATAGAACATAACATCTAGACATAAGGATATTAAGAATTTGGTTAGCTTGATTCAGGTTTGAGGTATTAGAATTGAACTGTAAGTGTGCTTAAAATATTGACTGTCGTCCTTTTCTTTAAACAACAACATTGGTTTTTCAACTATGGAATTGTTTTCTTATTTGAACTTTTGGAATTAGCTTTGTAAAATGAGCAAAACGTGAGTTTAACCAAATCTTCTATTAAGTTAATCTACTTTTTTACATGCACGTAGACTTGTAGAACTCTTTAGACATAACATTAAGTCTTAGCATTAATCAATTAACTTAAGTCCGGTTGGTAAACCATTTTAATGTGGATCTTAAGGAGTGCCTTACACCTTCTCTTTAAGATTAATCGAACTCTTACCTTAGAATCTCTAATGTTTAGTAGACCATACATAGTTAATAATAGATAATTTAGGGTGCCCTAACTCACCTTTTAATATAGGTAGGTGGCGACTCTTTAGTTAATAATTAATTCAAGAATCACCAATATGTTATACTCTAATTTGATCCGTGTTAAAATGGGGTATAACAATGGTAAGGGGTTAAAATCTTGTGATTGACACTATACCTTGCAAGCAAAGTGTCAAATGCCTTATTGCAGAAATGAGAACCCCCATCACTGATGATTGCTCTAGGAGTATCAAACCGAGTAAAGATATTCTTCTTGAGAAAAGCCACCACACTTTGGGCCTCGTTGTTGGGTAAAGCCACAACCTCAACCTATTTGGAAACATAATCAACGGCCACTAGAATGTATGTTTTGCCACATGAACTCACAAAGGGTCCTTGATGTCAATGCCCCACACATCAAATATGTCAAATTCAAGAATAGTAGTGAGAGGCATTTCATCCTTCTTTGAAACTCCACCTGCTCTTTGACACTCATCACATCTCTTCACAAGCTCACCTGCATCCTTGTATAATGTAGGCCAATAAAAACCACAGCTAAGCACCTTTGAAGCTGTCCTCGCCCCACCATGATGACCAACGTAGGGAGAGGAATGATAAGCATCTAGAATACTCATTTGCTCCTCTTTCGGAACACATCTCCGGATCACACCATCATTACAGATTTTGAACAAGTAAGGCTCATCCCAGTAGTAGTCCAAACTATCTCGTTTAAGCTTCTTCCTTTAGTTAGAAGAGAGCTCACACGGGATAATGCTGGTCACAAGAAAGTTAGCAACATCAGCAAACCAAGGCATTCTATTCACAGATAGAGAGAGGAGTTGCTCATCAGGGAATGAATCATTAATTTCGATGCCATCACGGGGCCTCCCCTCTTCCTCCAAGAGGGACAAGTGGTCCGCCACTTGGTTTTCACTCCCTTTCTGATCAACAATCTCAAGGTCAAACTCTTGAAGGAATAGAACCCATCTCATTAACCGAGCCTTAGAATCCTTCTTTGTCATCAAGTAACGAAGTGTTGCATGGTCAGTATGAACTATCACCTTGACACCCATGAGATAAGGTCTAAACTTCTCCATTGCAAACACAATTGCTAGCAACTCTTTTTTCGTCATCGTGTAATTCACTTGAGCATCATTCATTGTTTTGCTTGCATAATACACTGGGTGAAACCTCTTGTTTACTCTTTGACCCAAGACTGCTCCTACCGTAACATCACTTGTGTCACACATGAGCTCAAAAGGTAAGCTCCAATTGGGTGCGGTAATAATAGGAGTGGTTGTCAATTTGTACTTGAGATTCATGCATTCATTATTAAACACGAACTTGGAATCCTTTTCCAATAACTTGCACAAAGGATTCACTACCTTAGAAAAGTCTTTGATGAATCTTCGGTAAAACCCCGCATGCCTAAGAAAACTCCTAACCCCCTTGACTGAAGTAGGAGGAGGAAGCTTTGAAATCACTTCAATCTTAGCCTTGTCCACTTCTATATCATGCTTTGAGATCTTATGGCCGAGGACAATGCCCTCATCGACCATAAAGTGGCATTTTTCCCAGTTAAGTACAAGATTTGTCTCTTCACATTGGGCTAACACCTTGTCAAGATTCTTCAAACACTCATCAAAGGAGTCACCAAAAATACTGAAATCATCCACGAACACTTCCAAGAAGTCCTAGAAAATGCAAAGGTGTCGTACGGACACGTGAAGGTGGTTTTCTCCTGGTCTTCCGGAGTAATCAAAATCTGGTTGTAACCTGAGTACCCATCTAAGAAACAGTAAAAGGCACGCCCAGCTAGTCTATCTAGCATTTGGTCAAGAAAGGGCAATGGAAAATGATCATTGCGGGTCACTTTATTCAACTTGCGGTAGTCCATGCACACCCTCTATCTGGTGACAGTCCTGGTGGGAATCAACTCATTTTGCTCATTGGTAACCACAGTTATACCACCCTTCTTCGGCACACATTGCACCGGCGAAGTCCAAGAACTATTTGAGATGGGGTATACAACCCCTACATCTAACCACTTGATCACCTCCTTTTTGACAACCTCTTGCATAGCCTCGTTCAACCTCCTTTGATGTTCCACGGAAGGCTTTGCATCATCTTTAAGTATAATCTTGTGCTTGCAAAAGGCGGGTCTTATTCCCCGAATATCAGCTAAAATTCATCCAATTGCCTTCTTCCTACTTTGGAGCACCTCTAGTGTTGCATCTACCTGCACGTTAGTAAGACAAGATGAAAGAATAATAGGTAAAGTTGAACTAGGGCTTAAGAATTTATACCTGAGGTGTGAAGGCAAAGGCTTCAACTCCAAAACATGGGGTTCCTCAATTGAGGGCTTTGTTGGCGGAGTCTTTCTATTCTCAAGATCCAAAGAGAGCTTACGGGGCTCATAAGAATAAGAGCCCATTCCGTGCAAAGCATTGACACACTCCACCCGACCTTCATCCTTATTCATATCAAGGTTCAACAATACCGCTTCTAAAGGATCCTCCACATTGACTATAGCACTAGTATCATCGACTATCACCTCCATGACAAGATCCACAAAAGAGCACACTTCAGTACTATTCGTCTGCCTCATTGATTTGCACACATGAAAGACCACTTTTTCATCACCCACCCAGAAGGTGAGCTCCCTTGCTTCCACATCAACCAATGTTTTCCCAGTTGCAAGGAAAGGCTTCCCAATATTATCGGCACCTCATAGTCGACCTCGCAGTCCAAAATCACAAAGTCAGCAGGCAAAATAAACTTGTCCACCCGAACAAGAACATCATCAATAATACCTAGCGGCCTCTTCATTGTTCTATACACCATTAACAATCTCATTGAAGTAGCTTTCGGTTGACCAATACATTTTGAACACGGAGTAAGGCATCAAATTGATACTTGCTCCCAAATCACATAATGCCTTTTCCAAAATCTGCACTCCCAATGGTACATGGAATGGTGAAAGCATCGGGATCTTCAAGCTTTGAAGCCATTGAGTTCACAATTACACTTACTTAATGAGTCATTTTGATGGTCTCACAATCCATGGATCTCTTTTAAGTCACCAAGTCTTTCATGAACTTGGCGTAACCCGGCATTTGCTCAAGAGCTTTCACCAAAGGAACATTGATTGACAAGCTTTTCATCATCTTAATAAACTTCTTAAATTGGTTTTCATTCTTTTGCTTCGCCAGTCTTTAAGAGTAAGGTGGAGGAGGTCTTGGCAAGGGAGCCTTAGCCTTGGGCACTACCATTTCTGGTATGTCTATTACGTGTTCCCTAGATGGGTTCACGTCATCTTGAGTCTCCACCTCATTATCATGAATATCAATTCTCACTTTCGTATTCAAATTCTCTTCACTCGCTTGCTCATCAACTATAGGAACATCATCATCTTGCACTTGAACCTCATCACTCACAACTTCCTTTTGCTTGGAGGTATTCACATCACCACCTCGACCGCTTCTTGTGATCATCGCCATTGTATGCCTATTATTGTTCCACCCTTTGGGTTTACTACCGTATCACTAGGTAGAGCCTCCTTAGGGCGAGTATTCAAAGATTGAGAAATCTGGCCAAGTTGAACCTCCAAAATTTGGATTGAAGTATTATGGGATGCCAACTGGGCATCAGAGTCGGCATTCTTTTTCATCATTTGTTCAAACATCATCTCGATCGTTCCCATATCATTATTTGACGAGCTAGGACCTTGAGACAGAAATGGAGGTGGGTTGTTTGGTTGTTGATACATCGGAGGCCTTTGAAAGCCTTGCCCCTGATTCCCTTGATTGCCATTATTCCAACCCCCTTGGTTGTTGTTTCCTCCCCAATTGTTGTTGTTGTCACTCTAGTTGCCCTGGTTGTTCTGATTGCCCCAATTGTGATTGTTGTTCCCCTAGTTGCTATTTCCTTGTTGGTTTTGATTCCCCCAATTTCCTTGGGATCTCCACTATTATTGTTGGTTAGGAGCATTGCCCCTTTGTCCTTGATAATTGTTCATGTACTACAATTCTTCACTTTGCTCATCATACCCATCATCTTGGTTGAAACCACCACTACCCACTGCTCATATTGATCTGGACTACCTTGACCTTGTTAACCTCTTTGTCACCTCTTGTTGACCAACATGTTGACACCTTCCATAGCATTTACTTGCCTCGGTGCTTGAATTTGTTGCAATTGAGCTTTTGCCAACTGGTTCATTGTTGTAGTTAACTCTGTTATTGCCTGAACATGGTCGTGGAGCTCTTTGTGCAAGTGAATGATAGTCGGATCACCCTATGGCACATTAGCTCGACTTTGCCAAGCTGAGGAAGTATCTGCCATCTCATCCAATATCTCACACGCCTCAACATAAGGTGTGTTCATAAAATTTCCCCCTGCTAGTTGGTTCACTACACACTAATTGGTCGTGTTAATGCCATGGTAGAATGTCTGCTGGATCATTGCTTTGGTCATGTCATTGTTCGGACATTCTTTCACCATTGTCTGATATCTCTCCCAGATCTCATGAAGTGGTTCATTAGGTTCCTGTTTGAAGGCCAAAATCTCATCTCTAAAAGTCACCATATGCCTTGGCGAGAAAAAGTTAGCTATAAACTTGTCCGCCAACTCATCCCATGTAGTGATGGAATGGTTGGAAAGCCTTTCGAGCCAGTCCAAAGCTTTCCCTCTAAGTGAAAAAGGGAACAATCTCAATCTCAATGCATC